GAAAAGCAGCTCCCGGCATTCCCAGATTCCCAGTCCTGCCCCTGCCAGGCTCCCGGGGATCCCGGGATTCCCATCTCTCCTGGCTCCCCCTGGAATTCCTCGGGGGGTGCAGGATTGCAGACTCACATCTTCCTCTTGACCCCCAGAATTCGGTTGGATTGCACCAGGGAAATCAGGAACTGGATGAGCTGAGGGGGGAAAAGAGGGAAAAGCTGTTAGGGGGGGCTGGGAAAAGGGGAGAAAAGAGCTGGGCAGGGAGGAAAAGAGGGAAAAAACGGAGGGAAAGAGCTCTGGGAGGAGGAAAACAGGGAAAAACTGGAGATAAATAGTTCTGGGAGGAGGAAAACAGGGAAAACTAGAGAGAAGGAGCTCTGGGGGAAAAAAAACAGAGAGAATCTGGAGAGAAAGAGTTCTGGGAGAAGAAAAACAGGGAAAAACTGGAGGGAAAGGGCTCTGGGAGGAGAAAGCCAAGGAAAAACTGGAGAGGAAGAGCTCTGGGAGGAGGAAAACAGGGAAAACCTGTAAAGAAAGAGCTCAGGGAGGAGAAATAAAGGCAGAACCTGGAAAGGAAGAGCTCTGGGAAGAGAAAGCCAAGGAAAAACTGGAGAGGAAGAGCTCTGGGAGGAGAAATAAAGGGGAAACCTGGAGAGAAAGAGCTCTGGGAGGAGGAAAACAGGGAAAAACTGGAGACAAAGGGCTCTGGGAGGAGAAAACCAGGGAAAACTGGAGATAAATAGTTCTGGGAGGAGGAAAACAGGGACAAGCTGGAGAGGAAAAGCTCTGGGAGGAGAAAACTGGGGAAAATCTGTTTGTGTGGGCACAGAACCTGGAGAGAAGGAGCTCTGGGAGGGGGAATCCATGGAAAATGTGCGTTCCAAGGGGGATGGAGGGCCCTGGGCAGCGCCCTGGCACAGGCAGGGAGCGCAGGGAGCATCCCAATCCTGCCCATCCCTGCGGAAAAGCGGGATTTCCTTACCTTGTTGACCACCTTCTGCTGCTGGGCGTGTTTCTGCCTCAGGCTGGCCACCTCCCTCCACAGCGCCTCGTTCTCGCTGCAAGGCAAGGGAAAACCCTCAGGAACACCGGGAAAGGCCGGGAAAACCGGGAATGACCGGGAAAACCGGGAACCACCGAGAAAACCGGATCCACCGGGAAAACTGGGAACCACCGGGAAAACCGGAACCACCGGGAAAACCAGGAATGACCGGGAAAACCGGGAACCACCGGGAAAACCGAGAAACACCGGGAAAACCGGGAACCACCGGGAAAACCGGGAACCACCGGGAAAACCGGAACCACCGGGAAAACCGAGAAACACCGGGAAAACCGGAACCACCGGGAAAATCAGAACCATCGGGAAAAGTGAGAACCACCAGGAAAACTGAGAACCACCGGGAAAACCAGGAATGACTGGGAAAACCGGAACCACTGGGAAAACCGGAACCACCGGGAAAACCGGGCTGCAAAAACCGGGATGGGAAAAGGTTCTGGAACAGGGAATCCCGGGCTGGGAAGGCTCTGGACAGGGAATACCAGGCTGGGAATGTTCAGGAGCAGGGAATAGCAGGCTGGGAATGTTCAGGAGCAGGGAATGCC